ACATAGAAACAGATACACACACACACACACATATATATATATATATATTATATATATATATATATATATATATATATATATAGAAATAGATATATATATATATATTCATATATAGAAATAGATACATATATATACATATATATATAAGAACTGATTTATGCCTATGAAACCGTTTCGGAATGTGCACCCTCTGTAATACTGTTCATTTGCCTCACATGCGAGCATTGCAGCGTCACATTTACGTGGTGGTCCCAGTTCGTCCCGTATCTACTTATTCTTTGCCACCCAAGATAAACGATTTTGGTGTATTGTTTGTGTTTAGCTCTAATGTTTTAGGGTTTTAGGGAAAACCATTAAATCGTACACGAGATTCGTCCGATAGAAGGGGATTCGTTGTATTGTATCTGTCAACCGTACAGCCTTCTCTGTCGTCCGGGTTAAATTAACCTCTATCGATCGCAGTTTCCAGTTTCGAAGTCTGTATGTAAAGGCTAGGCCAGTCATGAGGCTACACCCTTCTGTCAGCTGTGTCGTGTGTCTGTCTCTTTGTGACTAAGCCCTACCGGAGCTTGGATCATGCCGAAAGTGCTCACTCGTTGTATTTGGAATGGGTCCGATCGCCCGCTCGTTTTCCTCGACATATCAGGGTTATGAATAACCAGTGTGGTACCAGATTTGTAAACCACGCTCATGCCTTGTATGTCTTAATGTATCCAGGGGTCGCATCCCTGGCAGCAGGTGCAAATGGGTCCCAAATATTAAGCGCAGGTGCAGGTCTGAGGACTGGCGCCGGCATGTCCCAGTCTGCTACAGACACAACTAGTAGTCCTTCGTCTTCTAAAATCCCTGCACGCACAAACCCTAACTCCTTTGGCACTGGACGGCCTGTATCGCCTATTGGAGGCGAATCAGGTAATCGAAGGTGTCTGTGTAGTCGACGTGGTTCTTGCGTTCTCATAGGTCTATGTCAGGTGCATAGATGTGTATGCAAGATGTGTACCTTGGCCACGTCTTTGTATGGGCACCTGTGTATCCGGTCGTCTTTCCAAATAAGGCAGAAACCCGTTTCATGATCCGCTTATGTACAGCCCATGCCCTATACGCTTCCACACACATACCTACTACCGCCCCTCACAACCTTCGACCCCAACAACTTACCTACCCACCCACCCACCCATCAACCCACCCACACAATACTCAGGGCCTCCAACCGTGCCACCCCCGCAAGCAATGTACGCTCTACCCGTGCAAGGTGCTCATCCTCATATGGGACCGGCACCTCCGGCGGGTATGCCTCGCTCACAGCCAAGGCCAGGTATGAGGCCAGTATTGCACCCGCGCCAAATACCTGGGGCGCCAGGACAGAGAGGGCCTTTGCACTACCAGTATGGGGCTCCGCCCCCGAATACAGGTACTATGTTGTGTATGTTGTGGTACGGATGGGTGGGTGGGGATGTACGGGTTTGTATATGACATATGTAGGAACCGGGTTTGTCTAGTGTGTAGTAGGGTGTATGTAGTATAGTGCACGTGGGTACATACCACATCCGAATGAATTAGGTCTGTCTAGGGTATAGCCACGGTGTGTATACTAGCTGTGCATGTACACCTATCACCTATATATCATTCTCATCTCATATCATTACTAGCTTTACATCTACACCTATCACCTATATATCATTCTCATCTCATATCATTACTAGCTTTACATCTACACCTATCACCTATATATCATTCTCCTCTCATATCATTACTCGCTTTACATCTACTCCTATCACATATATATCATTCTCATCTCAGAGCGCTCATATGTCTATCCATCCCACGCCACCCAGGCCCATACTACGCTGCCGCGCCTCCCCTAGGCACCGCACCACGGACCATAGTACCCACACCCACACACAGTACAGTCACTACCGAAACTGCCAACAACAACAACAACAACAACAACGGCATAATCTCGGCCATGAGTGCGATCAACCCGACTACTGTGTCTGATACCGCACACCCTGACGACGAGAATGGAGGTGAGAAAATAACGGGCGTTGTTCCGTCACATGTGACTTCAACGTCCGTCGCGCCGGACACGGAAGCGACACAGACGGAGGCTGAAAGCGCAGTACAGGCACAGTCAGACTCACAGATACAGGAGAACACACAGAAACAGACACAGACAAACACACACACGCACACACAGACGGCTGGGAATGGACAGGCTCTTACAGCGTCACCACTATCACAACAGCAACATCATCAACAACAACAACAGCAGCAGCAACAACAACTACAGGGGGTTCCAGGATATATACCAGCACCACCTCCTCACACTCAGTCGCAACAACAACAACAACACGCACATCTCCAGCAACAGTATCCCCCCAACCACCCCTACGCTCGACCGGGCTTGCAGCAACCACTCCAGGGGTACCCTCCCCGGGGCCAAATGATGGTACGAGGACCCCCTTTTATGGGCCAACATCTGCAACCACACCCGCACCAGACCGGCCACCCCGATCATATGATCGCCTTACATCCCCAACACCAGGTACTGTGAACATGTGGTGTACAGTTACACCGTCAGTGGTCAGTGACTTTTGTATTTGTTTTATGTGGTGGTCAAGCGTGTGGGACGGACGTAGAGTATGTTAACGTGTGTGTGTGTGTGTGGGTTTGTATACGGGTCACTATCTGATCCCGATCATAGGATCGCCCTACAGCCCAACACCAGGGACATTGCCGTAGTGTATAGGCACACATACCGTACACCTTAGCATTAGGCATGTGCCGAACAGTATACGAACATGCTTATCGCTGGACATTGATTGGTGGGGCTCAGCGTAGTGTGTTTTAAACGAATGCGTGGCCATGGGTTGCCATATACATCCAGAGACCGAGTTTACAAGTGCAAGCACAGACATGTCCATATTTTAGTATGTGTGTATGTATGCGTGTGTGTATGTGTTTTATGTATGTATGTATGTGTATGTATGTTTGTGTGTGTATGTATGCGTGCGTATGTATGTGTGCGTGTGTATGCGCGTGTGTGTATGCGCGTGTGTGTATGCGTGTATGTATGTATATGTGCGTGTGCATGTATGCGTGCGTGTGTGTATATGCGTGTGTGCATGTAGGCATGTGTGTGTATGTATGTGTGTGTATATA